GTGTCCTGGGAGCCAGGCAATGCCAGCAAATTGGGTTGGTATTGGCTGGTCTGGTCATTCTGCCAGGAGGCTGCACTCTGCCACAAGGTGTATATGTCTGAGATATCCTGGCTGGTCACCCTTGCAAACTACTCTCAGCGCAAACTTATGAACACAAGGAGGAAAGAGATGAATCTTTTCAAATAATCAACTCTTCCTTTTGGATCAAAGACACCATCCTTTCTCCAATTCATCAGAACAGACTTTTGGCTCTTCCCAAAGATGGACTCATCTCTATTACCATGCCCAGGCCTACCACTTTGAGCACCACACTACCACCATTACCACAACCACCATCACTACCACCTCCATCATCACCGTCATCACCACCACCATCACCACTTCCATCATTACCACCACCACCATCACCTCCGTCACCATCACCACCATCATCACCATCATCACCGTCATCACCACCACCATCACCACTTCCATCATTACCACCACCACCATCACCTCCGTCACCATCACCACCATCATCACCATCATCACCGTCATCACCACCACCATCATTTCCCCCTCCTCTGCAGGTTTTTACAGTGAAGAAGACAGACACTGGAGTTAGATGTGGGTTCAGATCCTATTGGCACCCATTGCAAGTTGCATAACTACTGGACCAGCTGTGCCACAGGCCTCAGTGCCCTCCCCATAAGCATTAGATAACAGAAGGCTTGGACACTGCTGAGGCAGCAGTTCGGAGGATTAAATGAAATCGTGAATACGAGGCACTTAGCAGGGCCAGCGCTCAGCAAATGTGACTTATTATCATCAAGAAGACGCACCTCCATGGGATTCATCAAACCAGAAAGCTCTAATTTCTGGAAATCTCTTCTAGCTTTTGCCCAATTTTCTGCCATTAGGTTCCCAGGATTCCACACCATATTTTCGGGGTGTGTGGTGGGGGGACGGTGTCTGTCTTGAAGGAGGATTTCCAGGATTGACATTAGCACACATAAAAAAAAGAACAGAATTGGGCAGGATGTCAGGAGCTGTGGGGCACTGGACACATGTCCAGTTATCCTTGTGGGGCTTAGCTTTGGTCACTCACAGGCCCAAGAAGGACATCCAGTGCACTCTCCACTAGAGTCTTCAGAACTGAGGACAAAATACCCTGGAGCAGTTTTCTCATGCAGAACTTCAAGATCCTGGGGGTTTCTCAGAAAATGTGAGACAGAGACCTTTTCCTTTTGATGTCCCATGCTAGGAACCCATGTATAAATAATCTTGATTAAAATCAATCCCCCAAATATGGGTGACATATTTGCTTGCTGGCTCAGAAAGTCCCTGAGCGCTAACGTAGACACAGAAGCTGCAGAGAGAGCAGGCGAACAGTTATCTTGGTGAAATTCTGTTCTGGGAATTTCTGCTCTGTCCAGCTGGGATATTTGTATCAGAGAAGTAGAGGGGGTGAAGGGGGAGGGGCATTTTATTTGCAGTGTTTCCCAGAAGCAAGACTGTCTGATTGGGAGAGAGGAACAGAGAGACAACTTAAAAATGAGATAGCTAGAATGATCGGAAAAGGTTGAGATAAAAATACGCCTTAGATGTAGCTGCAGCCTCCAAGTTGGTGTCTCAGTTTGGAGCGTGTTCACAGGGAAGCGACCGAGAGGAAACAGATGGAGTTCAAATCCTGGGCCACTACTTACTGCGAGCACTTCCCTCCCCTGAGCCTCACTGTCTCCTCTGTCAAGTGGGAGTGGCGCCTCAGCCTTAGAGAGTGCTTGAGAGGTTTAGGGGTGCTGTGCGTGCAGGTGGGGTGTGGGGTAGACACCCACAACACTGGCTACTGTTGCTGTGGGCTTGTGAAGCATGGGCAGTTGCTTTAACAACCCCTTGGGGGGCTTGCCAAAGAGGCTTTGAGGACCTCAGGACACTTCAGCCAGACCCTCCGTGGCCCCAGCAATCCTGCTTCTGGGTGTTCATCCCAGAGTCAACATTGGGGTCTTGAGAGCTTTTTGCTTTCTGCATTCACCATCGTTGCAATGTTACCCATGACAGCCAAGACCGGAAGCCCCAAAGGCCCGCACGGATAGAAGCCTGGCTTGAGTGCCGCCGAGTGTCCACACCACGCAGCGGACTCAACCTCACAGTGCAGGTCCTGCTGCAAGGCAAACTGGAGGACATGCCTGAGAGATTATGGGGTACAGAGGCCAACAGCATGACTCTACTCACACAGGCTCCGAGGACAGTGGAGCTCACAGAAACAGCAGAGGCTGGGGGTGAGGGGCCGGGGAAAGGGCCAGTCTCTATTGCAAGACCAGTGTGTTCTGGAGCTGCTGGCCAGCCCCACACCTGCCCCTGGCCTGTGCAGCACAGGTGGCCCTTTGCACTTACCTCACCGCAGAGCCCACGGGCCCCCAGGCCCCCAAGGGACACAGGCAGCGTCTGGAGGCCTGAAACATGCTTGCTAGCCCGAGGGCGGGTGGTGACCTGGGCATGCACTTCGCCCCAGGCAGGAGGTGGTGACGTAACGCACACAGTATTGCACTTGTACATCTGCTGGTCCAGGGGCGCTGCTTTAACAGAAGCCACCGGCGTGATGTGTCTACAGCGTGTCCAGCTGCCGGGTGTGTGGTCACCAAATCTGACATTGACACGGACTGCCTTGTGTCTGCCCCCGAAGCTCTGCACCTCGCTCTCCACCCAGGGGCCTCTCGGACCTGACCCCAGCCCTGCCGGTAGCTACTGCTCTGCTCGCGAGGCCTCAGCGTTCAACTGAGTTTAGTTAGTTTGCTTGTTTCACTTCTTCACCTTCCTCACATGAGGGAATGTGATCCCTCCCCACCCACCCCCCAGCACTTCCCTGCCTGCTAATGGACAGGAATTGTCTTTTTATTTTACAGAATAAAGCTTTTCTTTAAAGTGGAGGGAAGGAATTCTGTGAGGGCTTCCCAGAAGCCTCAGAGCTTGGGCCCAGGCAGAGGGTGAGCTGGGGTGGGGGAAGCAGGGCCTGGGCAGTGGGTGAGCTGGGGTGGGGGGAGCAGGTCTATTAAACTCAGCAGGTAGCACTGCAGTTGGCTGCCACCTGCCTTTAGCTGTTTCCCCATCACCTGGAACACACTGCTCGTCATGACTTCTGGGGTGGAAGGTACAGTCATGCTTGGCCCGGCATCATCAGAGTCAACACCAGCTAGATCAGGGTGAGGGCTGATTTTTGTTGGGGATCTCCAGAAAGAAGCAGCTGCTCCTGGGGACCCCAAATGCCTTTCTTCCTGCTCCACCGTCCCTTCCTCACTAGGCTGGTGGGAGATCCGGGCACTTACCTCTGCGTCCTCTCTCTGCTTCCAGGGCGTCGGGCAGTTAGCCCTGGACACAGTGTTAATTTTCCAAGTACATAACAGAAAGTGTAAACTTGGAAAAGACCTGGGCTGCCTGCCCTCCCCTGCCCTTCCTGATGACTGCTGAAGCGTGGGCAGCGCTGACCGGGACAGGACAGCCCCCGCCACTGTGTTTCTGCCCCTCCTCACCGCAGGCAGTGGGCTCATGCCATTTACTGGATAATTAATCGGTAACCCTGAAATTGTTATTATCAAGTCAAAACAGCTTCAGATGAGTCATTGATTTGCTCTGCGGGCAGCAATCTATGTCGGCAGTTGGAGGGAGGGATATTTTAAAATTTAATCGCAGAGTAAATCTCCAGTGGAGACAAGGGGACACGTTTTCTGCCCACGTAGTTATTTTTCAAATCAACAACCACTTTCGATGGGCCTAGAACATCAGCGTCACCCTTAAAATACTCCCAGAGTGTCAGTCACAAGTGGGGAATTCTCAGGCTGGAAAAGGAATGAGGAGACAGGCTAAGAAGTTTCTGGAAGACAATAAAACACCCTTTTCTCGTTGTCTCTTTGGAAACAGTATTCTCCAGCCCCTGTCAAGGGCGTGCCCCCTGAGAAGCCTGCCTCTCTCCAGCTCGGCGAGAGGATGTCACTGTCCCTGTGGTCCCAGCAGAGCCAAGCCATCCATTACCTCAGTGACAGGTGGGGCCCAGGGGCCGCAGAGCCAAGGCCAGCAGTGACCCCTCCCATCCCCCGTCTGCCCATCTGCATTTGGCTACAGCCCGATGCCCAGAAGGAGTCACAGAAGCCAGGGGCAGGTACCAGGGAGCCCCTCATCTCTCCTTGTAGCTCTGACTGTCTACGGAGCAAGACAGGAAGAGAAGCCATTGCCAATGTCACACCAGTGGCTCTGTTCGGGGGTGACCGCAGATAGAAAGCCCAGGGGACACTCAGCGCGAACATGGGTGGCCATCCAAGGCACTGAGTGTGCAAGAAAAAGCACGCTGGGCAGAGTGGGGTTGTGTGGGAGGAAAACTGAGACCCCTCACCCAGGGGCAAGGGCAGGCAGTTCCTAGAGCTCAGATGGGGGACCCTCGAGCAGACACCCTGACAGGGGCTATAGGCTGAGGACCCGACAGACATGCAGGAGGCCTGGGAGGATGGCACTGGCGCGGCCCCAGATTCTGGGTTGTTCACCATCCCTGACTGCAGCCGCGGGGCGTGGGGCCCGTGTTAATGGAATCCTGTATGTAAAGACCATTTCCCAAATGAGGTCGTATCCACAGGCTCTGGGGTGCAGATGGAAGGTGGGGGTGTTAGAACATCAACCAACATGTCTCTTGGGGGGACACAATTCAACAACTGCAGTCCAGTCACACCTGTGTCCCCACAGCTAAGCCCCACGGAGGGCAGAGGGCAGGGGCTGGGGCTGCCGCCTGCACAGGTTGCCACAGCTCCAGGGTGAGGAAGCACAGCCAAGGCCCCCTCTTTGCCCAGAGGCTGCACACTTGGCACCCGGGGGTCCTCAGCTCCCAAACCCCGAGGAGGCCCCATGACCCCTCGGGAGGTGAGGAGGACAGGAAACAGCGCTCGCGTCCCCTGCGTCCAGGCAGCAAGGCTCCCAGGGCACGCAGTAGCCAGGGGCCTCAGAGCTGGGCCACGGCGCCCGTGACACACACGTCTTACCATGGCCAGCGGGACGATGCCCACCAGGTCCTTCTGGCTGATGAAGATCTCGGACACGGTGACATCGGTGCCCCCCCTCCGGGGGTACTCCACCTGCCAGGTGATGGGCTGTGACCCCGACAGACTGCTGAAGCTCGCGATTTCAAAGTTCATCTGCGCAACCTCGGTGTAGCTGCTGCTGCTTCTGGAGGGAATGAGAGAAATGGCTCTGAGCTGGCTGTGCCCGGGGACGGGTTTCCTCTCTGCTGTAACTGGAGCTAAGGGCCAAGGAAACGCCTTTCAGGAAGCCCCTGGAATATGGTTGCCTCTGCACTGGGACCTGGGCAACTGGCTGGAGCAGCCCCAAAGTCAGGACAGGCTGGCATCCTCAGCGTGGGACCAACCAGCCTGGCACCCCAGGGCCTTCTGCACTGACCTCCACCAGCTATTCCCGCAGGGGTTAATCCAGCCTTGGTCTCACCTGCAGGGTGGACCGGAGTTACCTTTGACCTGAATCCCAAATGGGCCTGAACGGAGGGAGGCTAACTGCCCAGAGTGGCATCATTTCCCAGACCACAATGAGAGACACAAAGTGCTTTTCTCTGAGACCAGCTTTTACTGGTGAGCCCTCAATGGGAACCTCGAGCTGAGCTCCAGGCCGTTGGAGAGGGAGCAGGCAGAGGGGCAGGGCTGCCCAGAGCTGGGGACCCACCCATGGAGGGCCCACACTCTGGGCACTGGGAGAAAAGCCTCTTTACATTCATGGAAGAGGAACTTCCCCAGGACATGCCTGTGGCCTTCAGCCGAGCCCACACATCCGTCAGCCTCGTCTGTCCGCCTCCCGCACCCGCTTTCCAGCCAACACAATTTAACTCTGCTGTTCTCAACACTGGACCCCAAACCTATGAAGCCTCAGCTCTGTTCTTAATCAGGGGACTCAGATTTGAGTTTATCTTGTCCCTGCTTGCCCAGCCACTGGCTAATAAAGGCGATTTCTCTCCTCAGAGGCCTGAGGTCATTGTCTGCCCTGTTCCCGGGGCTTGGGAACAGGCCCTTGACGTTCAGTTTCATCAGTGCAGCTGGGCTGGAAGCAGCCCACCTCTCACCGCAAACTCCTCCTCCATTACGCCCCGGTATACACTGCTGAGCTGCACGGTCAGCACTTCCAGGCTCCCTTGCAGGGACAAGCAAAGTTCCAGTCAGCCACGCCCTGTACTAGGACCCAGAAGTGGGTGCTGAAGGAGCACCCAGGGGGAGGAGGGGGGAGGGAGGGGCTTGTGGTCCTGCTCTCCCAGGCACTGTGCTGGCTTCCTGCAGCACCCCACCCCCCTCACCACCCCCATCTTGCAAAGGGCCCTCCGCTTGCTGCTGAGCGCGCAGAGCCAGTCAGTGTTCTCATCGGAGCTCTGTCCCCGGCAGTGGGCACATCAGTGCAATTCCATGATCCTCCCGCAGGTCCTTTGTGTGCCTCCCGCCTTTCATGGAGACTTCCGTTCAGAGGAACTAGTTAGCTACAGGGATGCTGTTCTCTGAGACTAAGGGCTCTCGCCGGTACCCCACATTTAGGTGGGCCCCGGCATGCACACATGCTGTGTGGCAGTGCTGTGCCCTTGGGAACTGCAGAAGGGCCATTTCTTCAGGGAGGCAGTTGAGACCCAGAAAGGGAAGCTCATAGTCCATAGCGGTGCCCACGGAGGCATGCTATTGGGGCTCTGGGCCGGGGAGCACCCTCCTCCCGACGGCTGGTGTGTGGAGTGGCACGCCCCTGGCCCCGGGCTCCTCAGGATGGGGGTGGCACACTGAGCCCCCCAAAACCCCAGCTGGTTGCCCTTTATGTGTGAAGCTCCATGGGTGTGACCCTGCCCACTGCTTACATTTTATCTTGGGCTATTTCTTGTTAAGAGAACATGGTTGAGTGACCACGGTGGGTAAGGCCAGTCTGCAAAGCCTGGCGTGTCATCTAGACCTTTACGGAAGACGTTTGCCAGTTCTGGACAAAGGTCATAAAAGTGGAAGGTGGAGAAGCTCTTTGGGCTGTCAAATCATTAGAATTGACTAGGGGAGGAGAACAAGGTGTCGCAGGCACACGGCTGAACTCTAGGTGGATTCTGAGAGCACCGGCTACTGGACATGTGCTCTACATGTCCTTTAGTGTCCAGTGCTGTTTCAGCTGGCAGGTAGCTGGGTCACTGCAGGTATTCAGGCAAGTTGAGGGGGAGTTTCTCCAGGTGTGTGCTAGGATCCAGGTAAGTGCATGCTAGGCCTGGGTGTTGCTGAGACCCGAAGTGTGTGTCCCGGGTGTGTGCTAGGACCCCAGGCAATTGTCCCTGGCACTGGCATACACTGCAGGGCTCACTCAGAGCCCACCCTGTGACATGAACGAGCTCTATCTTGGTTCCAGAATAGGAAACAAACACGTTGCACTTTGGAGAACCTCTATCTCTGCACAGAGCTGCGCAGGACTCTGGGTCCAGGGGGCCCTGACAGAAGGCATGCTGCGAGGGCCTGGGAGAGCTGCGACATATAACTACAGGGCTGGAGACCTCAGACAGGGCAGACACCAGGCTGTGTGAGGGAGGCCAGACAGTGCATCTCAGCAGAGCCTGGGGCTCGAGCGTCCTCCTTTGGACAAGGCTGCCTTCAGGTACATGGTATCGACTCCTGATTTGTTCACTCTTGTGCAACCAGGTCTCACCCTGCTTCTCCTCCTCCTTATATGTCTTCACCTTTGTCGTCTCTAAAAACTGAACAAGGAGGCCTATCCTAGCTGAAGAGAGTCCAGCTGCATTTAGAAACATGAGACATATGTGGAGGTGACACAGAAGATCCACTGCACACTGTCCCGGTTCTGTCCGTCCAGGGGCTGCATCAGCACTGGGCCTGTGGTGCCAGCTCACAGAGGACAAGCTTTTCCAGAGGACATTTTTTGCAGAGAAGCAGAAAAACTGCAGGTTTTTTTTTTTTTTTTTGCAAATGATTTCTGTGGAGAGGAAGAGTGGTATCTGGAGTTGGTGGGCTTCCCCGCTAAGACATATCTCTTCGGCCCAATAGCCAAAGTCCAGGGGGAGGTGAACTTGCCCCTCTCAGCCTCTGGAACCCTCCTGAGCTCCCTGGCCCAGCTCCTCTGCTCTTCACTGGCTCAAAAACACCGGAAATAACACGGGAGAGTCTGGCATTTGTAGTAACACTGGAGAGTCTGCATTTTTAAATATCAGAACTTTAACCTTTGAGCCAGGATGGGGTCTCAGAGGATGCCTCTGCCGGCTGACACTGGTCGTCTAGGTCACAAAGCAGTAGCTCTGTTCTGGGGGGAGCAAATAACAGCAGTGCTGTGGTTTGAGGTAAAAGAAACGCCCCAGAGACGTTGCTATGTGGTGTTTTCCAAACTGGGGTCCCCAGGGCCCCGGGTGTTCAGGGGAGGTGTGATGGCATTGGTGGTGGTGCTGGGTCTGTTTTACCCCATTACTACAGCAGGTCCAGCCTTATATGCTGGACGTGCTGGGTCTCCAGCAAGTATTTTATTCAAAGAATAAAGGTCTAAAGGCAGGAATGGAAGGAGGAGGAGGAGAGAGAAGGGTAGGACCGAGATTGTGAGCAGGTGGGGTGCTGCAATTCGTGCCACAAGCTTTGAAAAGATTTCCTGAGTCCAAGTTCTTGCTCTACCAGTTACGGGCTGGGTAGCTTTGGGCAACTCTGCTCCTTCCCCCTACCTGCCAAGCAGGGCTGCTAATCCTCCCTGTTTCACAGAGGTGATATGAGGATTAAATGAATGAGCGAATAAATCCAGTGCACGTAGAACACAACTCGGCACTGGCAAATGTCAATAAATGTGAGTCTTTCTTGCTTTTAGCAGGTTTCAACACTTTGTTTCATCTCAGAGGCTTTAGGTTTGATGCCTTAAAGCTACCTACATCTGAAACATGCCCCTTCTGGCCTGGGGCAGGAATGCTCTTGGGGAGGGGGGTTCTCTGCCACTGATGGGCTTTTCTGCACTCAGATGGGCATGCAATTGTCTACTTGGTGGCTGCCCTTCCAGGTAGGATCCCACGACAGGATGCTTGATGTGGGCAAGTGGAGACCAAAGCCAAAAGAACACTGTCTGCAGCTCTGTCTGTGTTCAGCATCCTCCTGCTTTCTCTAAGCCACCCAAGCTCTTTGCTAAGCCTTTGCCTTGAAGGGATCAAGGGCACTCCACACCAGCCTCTATGGTGCTTGTGATATTGTTGGAGTAATAAAGAGAGGAATTTAAACACTTAAGTGACTCCAGAGAGCACTGAAGAACTACAACTTGCTAAATCAATAGGGTAGATTTATTGTAGTAACTCTTGAAAGAAATTTTCAAAATTGGCTTAAAAAAGCTCTTACTCAAAAGCAAATAAATTCCTCCAATAGTCACAATAAAGTTTGTACCACTGGAAACCCAATTTACCAACCTCTAGCGATTGAACTCTATCTTGCAGGAAAATGGAGTCTGGGGGTGTGTTAAGAAGTCAAAGGGTTTTACCTCCCCACTACGGGGTATAAGGGATTTCAGCTCCAAAGTCATCAGCTACTATTGACAGCTTAATGCCTACAGAAGAAAGGGGACTAACAAAATGAAGAAATCAACCTTATAATAGGGAAGCTGTTCCAGGAGAACGGAATCATTTGGCCCAGGCTTTGTTTTATTCATTCTACCTCATGTGAATTTCATGAAGGCAAAGGACACATACTTTCCCTCTGGGAAAAGCTTTATTAGAAAGTCCCATTGACCCCAAAGCAACAGCAATGCTCCTGAGATCTGGGAGCTCTCCGTGGTGCTGAAGCATATCAATTTGACCAGCAAGTTGCAAGCAACTGAAATCACCTAGTGCTGATTGACAAAGCAAAGGGAATTCAATAAAGGCCTCAACATTACTAGGAAGCAAGGAGAAAGAAAACACAGAGAAGAGATTTGGGCTGAAGAAAGTTACAATACTAGTATCTGGGACAAAGCTGATTCTGGACAGGTCATCGCGGCTAAAGCCAAAAGAAATTTTCTGCTGGTCTTGAATTTTTGCACCACTAGAAGGCCCAGGCTACAAGTCTGACAGTCTAAATGGATATCACAAACGCTACTTCACAAATTAGGACAGGGAGGAGAGACCTGACTGACCTGTTATTATTCCACCCCTGCTCGGTAACAGAATTTAGGATGTAGGATAGTGAATGGTACAGGGCTGG